CTGTAAGTCCTGTACTCCTCCGGCGCGAACCTTGGCCTTCATGACACGCACAAACTCGTCAGAAGCCTGCTCTCGCCAGATCCTCTCCCTCAGTGTCGGCTGAAGCTGCATAGCATTGACACTGGCACTAGTGCTCCCCGAAACAGCTATGGGGAGTGCGTCCATCGCCTGAAGCTGCATCCGGGCGAACTCATGGATCAATGGACTCTGCTGTGTGATGACGTACGTCAAGTCTCCCGTCACCTTTCGGCTTAGGGCATCTGCGACGACGTTCGCCTTCCCCGGATGGTACTGGATAGAACAATCACAATCTTTGACCAATTCGAGCCAACGGCACTGCCTCATATTAAGCTCCTTCTACGTAAAAATGTACTGTAGGCTCTTATGGTCTGTGAATATCTCGCAGCGTCCGCCATAAAGATAATGACGCCAGATCTTCAGGGCGTGAACGAATGCGGCTAATTCTAAGTCGTGCGTAGAATAGTTCTACTCATGAGGCTTAAGCTGACGTGAAACATACGCAACGACCCGTCCGTCCTGCATCAGGATATATCCCAAACCCTGTCTCGAAGCATCGCTGATGATAGTGAAACTCCGAGAAGGATCGGAAATAATCTACGCTGGTGCTTAAGTTAATCTCCTCTTGCTAAGACATGATTTCAAAACGAAATTCTGAAATATGTTGGTCGTCCTCTTCTGGCTGCTGGCGGATCTCCGATCGAAATGCTGGTGGTGAAGACTCTCTTCGAAATCTCCCCGTGTACTGAGACGTAGACATGGCATCCTTCAATGGAAAGCGTCGGTTTATCATTATGGCACGATCCGTTGTTGTTGACTGGCTCTTCTTCATTGCGGCGAATGTCAACCTGCAATACCTGCAACTTTTTACTCCCTCCGAGGTTACACTTAACCTCAAGAAGAAGTTCCTCATGACTTAATATCTCCCACGATTTCTCAGATTCTTCAGAATTTGAGAATCGAGGCGCTGACATACTGAAAATGGTGGATAAGTCTTGTCTTACCAGACAGACTATCCTTGATCTTGTCATAACTGACCTGAATACTCTCATGGCTGAAAAACCATGACTTGACTCTTCTATGGCTGAATCATCTATGTTCGAATTCTGAAAACTATCCCGAGACAACTTAAATAGTTGCTTCGGGACTGAAAACGTGATATTTACTGACTTACTTGACTGGATAAGGTACGACTTCAAGTTTCCAGGTAAATCTGAACTAATGGTCTGAATATCAGACCGCTACCTTTTACCCGGCTGAACAACTATTATACGTCGACCTTATAGCATGAACTTAAACTGAAAATCGTGAGTCTGAACTCTGTACTATATAGGGCTGCTCCAGTATCTACTGGTCCCGCAAGTACAAAGTAATTAGCTGATCTTGACTTCTGAAAGTCATAACTTAAATAGCAGGACTGATAAAATATCTGACATGACTGACTTGAAAGGTTGTTATTTCCTGAAATCTCACTGATTCGGCCCCAGCTTCAAGCCTCCATGGTATACCCGGCTGAGTGGCTCTTATTTCAAGCCTCCATGGTAACCCGGACTATTGACTCTTATACACTGGAAACCGTTACTGATAATAACTTGAAAACTATAACAACCTTTAACATGAACACTCTTGCTTTGAACATAACTTGCTGATCTGACTTAGGAACTTTGAGTCTATTCCTTGAATTAAATCAAGGAATTTCTCCCTGAAGTCTGCCAATTGATTAACAAAACGGCAGTTCTCGATAAAAATTTTCTGAGAAACATGATTCTTACGATTTGTTTAGGACAATGCTTACAAATCTTCTGACAAGTTACTAACTTGACTTGAGTGAATCTAGAATTGAATCTAGAGTTCTTAAACTCAATCCTTTTCTATGAAAGGATTATGAATTCACTTGCCCCTGATACGGGGATTTCTTCGGCCGAAGAATTTCTTGACATGATAGTCGCGGAACTGTGCGACTACTGAAGCTTGAATAGAAACTGAGTGATCGGGAAAAAGATTTAACATTACTAGATAAGCGATAGCATTACTGTCTGATTACTAAGGCACCCAGATCTCTTGACGGGTTGCCGAAAATGGCTGATAATTACTGACTGAAACCTGAAGAACTCTAGAGTCATCTCGGAAAAATCTTAACGTCTAGAGTCATATCTGAATGCCTGAATTCTAGAGTCATGTCCAACCTCTAGAGTCTGAATCTGATTCGAGCATCTTAACTAAAGTTCTGATCCTCAACTCTGAGCATAGACAAAGTAATATGTTTATAATAACTGAAAACTGAATTGCAACAGCACTTACCTGTCGTCGGCGGGGCGTGAACATGACGGTTCGGGTTTTACTGAAAAATTTCGGACTGTATTCTTTTCTGAAAAACTTTTCTGAAAAATTACTGAAACTTACTTACTGAAAACTTATCTGACTGAAACTTATCAGAGACGCAGAAACGTGCTCTGATACCAATTGTAACACCCCACCTTACTAGTAAATCAGAGTAGCGCATTTAATCGCAAAGTCTGTGAAAACTAAACATTTTTACTTTGCGAAACTGATTTGGGGTGCTACCGTGAAAAATCTTTACTTAACTTGGGAAAACCGTTGTTTTAACTTAGTAAAAATGTCCGGTTATTTAAAAACTTTATTTTCTGAAAAGTTTATCAAAATATGATAAAACC